CATGACCCAGTTCTTAATTACTCATCATCCCTCGTGGACCCAATAATTAATTAGGTGGGTCCGAAAGAAGTTAAACTCATCTCCTACTTCCATAATCCCTAAGTTTAATGAGAACAAATTAATAACAAATGTGCCTTATGAATGGATTAAGGACCAGTATGTCATTAAGAGTGTGTTTGATTTGCAGAAATAGGTGTCTAGAATGGAATCAGAATGGGTCATTTCGATTATGTTATGCCTGAGCCAAGATCTTTTGATCACAAAACGTGTATCAGTGTATATACAACATCTACATCTATTGACTTCATAGGGAGATGTTTTCAAAGTGTGGCTGTGGTGTTATGTTCACATAGATTGTGGCCAGTGTTCTGTGGTCAGCTGATCATTTCCCTACAAATCTTTCTAAACGGACCCACCCACATTGTAAATTGTTTGGATTATAATCGTCTAATGGAGGAGCAATTATGCAACTCTTATTATGAAATCTTAGACCTGAGAAAAAGTTGGGAGAAAGCAAGTTAGGGTCCCCCGTTTAGTGATCCAAACTAAGAAGGTGCCTGGCCCAACCCGACCCGAAAGGAATTCAGGTTGGGTGTGATCAAGTCACGAATCACCTTATTTTCAAACCAATGTTGACCTGAACATTTGAACTGTTCAAACTGTTTGAACTGCACAGTTAACCTCATATTTTGGTTAAAAAAAGTGTTGATTTGGTCACAGATCGGCTGACTCAGGTGGTTGAACCGGTGATTCTAGGTCAATCCTAATCTATATACTTAGAGTTAAGAATCAATCCCCCCACCAGAAATTGCCTTTATCCAACTCGAATCGACCAAATTGCCATGTCTACATCAAACCTTTTCTGCTATTTGATTTTAGGCCCCATTTGGCTTGCAGGAATAGGGGTCTAGAATTGGAGTCCGAATTGGTTGGGCGGAATTGGAATCACATTCTGGCATTCCCTCATTTAAGGAGCCATTTTCTTTTCCTCTTTTGGGAATGAAATCTCATTCCTGCTTATTTCAATTCTCATTTTGATTTTGATTTTGAATTGGATGATCTGTCTAATTAATAGAGGTGTAAATTGGGTTGTGTCGCGGCCTGGCACGATGGAACACGGGTCGTGCCAGGCCTAACACAATGGTCCATGCCATCCTAGGCCTAGGGTTTTAGGTCCACGGGCTGGGCTGGCATGGCCTGGCGCATGGCCAAGCGGGCCGTGACGCCTGCGGCCCGCATGTCGGCACAACCTAGCCCGGCACGGCCCGACACATGACCAAGCGGGCTGTGACACCCGTGGCCCGCATGTTGGCACAACCCAACCCGGCATGGCCCATATATACTATTTATATAATATAAATTATAATTATATAATAATATATAGTATATAATATATTAATAAAATAAATAATTGTTTTCAATTTTATTATACTAATTTATTTAATTATTGTATATATAGGCAATTGTATACATCAAAATTCATATAAAATTAAAATGTTAAGTTTTTTTTTCAATTTTTTTAAAATAAATAGGCAAAAATAACTTTGGCCCGGTCCATGGCCTGGTGTGGGCCAAGGCTTGGCTCACAAGACCAGCCCAGCCCGCGACACAACACGGCATGGCACGGGCCCGTACGGGCTTGGGCCGTGGGCTGTGCCAGGTCGGGCCGACTCCCAAACTATTCATTGGGGAGGGCGGCACGACTCATGACATCCCGCGAGCTAGCACGGCACGGCCCGCACTTTGCGCGTACCGGCTCAACACAACCCACTTTACACCTCTACTAACTAATTGGATTGGATTGGGATTTAACCCCATTTACGTACAATTATTTTATAATATATATTCATTTAATGTATAAATTTTATATAATTATATATATTATGCTACATAAATTTATATATATATATATATAAAGTAAATTCATTATTTCATATTTATATTAATTTATTATATATATGTTAAAAAGTAATTATTTTAGTTACAAGAGAAGTATTGGAATCCTTTCTATCTATCTCTCTCTCCTCTTATTTTTATTTTATTTGCTTAAACGGAACGCATTGTGTTGCTTGTAACTAGAGGTTGCCCATAAATGAGGAATTCCCTGCTTCCAATCCTTCTCCGCTTGCGTAGAGTCCCTGTAAAATCCAATCTAAATAACACATTCTTCGCAAACGGCAAACTAGATAGACTAATTGAGGGAGCAAAGCAACCGAAAACCAAAGTATCATCTCATCTTCTCCTTTTTCCTGTTTTTGAGGCTGAGTGGGTTGCTATGTAAGAAAAGTAAGCAGAGCCACGACCCAAACACACGCTTATAGCCCTCCCAACTCCCAAGCATTATTCACATAAACCCTGACTCTATCCCCGACAGAGAGTGGAATCCATCTTTTTTGAGCTTAATTGGTTACCTTCCATGAACAGAGAGAGAGAGAGAGCAGTATCCTTAGTTGGGTCCAGTCTATGAGAGCCTTTAGTATAGAGGGAATTAAAAAGCATTTGAGTCAGAGTGCAATGTGCCCTTGTCTCTCAGACTAGCTGGACCCCACTATTGTATGCCTCTCATCTCAGAGATCAAATCAGCTCCACCTATATAATAAACCATTGCAAATCTATCTTTTTAGTACCAAGAGATATAACTTTTTCTTCATGAAAAGCTATATATAAAAAAGGTTCCAACTCCCAAGTTAGTTCATATGGTGGTGTTTCTGGATACCACCAGGAATGAGGTAAACTTCACAATTCTGGTAGGCTTTGTGTGGGTGGTTCAGTTCATCTCTTCTTGTTGGTTTTGTGGGTGGAAAGGGGACAAGGATGTGCATCCTTCTCTCTTCTCAATCCCAAGGATGCAATCAAATTATTCAAGCTTCAATGAAATCTTTTGGGCTCAAGTTCAATTAGACTCGATTTGAGTTTAATTCTAATTGAATTTGAATTTTAGGATAAATTTGATTAGTTATACTGGAAAATAGAGTGATTTAACTAGAATTCGAGCTCAAACATATCAGTATTTTCATTGAACCGAGTCAAGACATGTCAAAGTTTAATCTGCTCAACTCAATTATACACCTGGCCTACTACACAAAATATATGTAATACAAAAGAATAAAAAAAAATTAAATATAAGTAGATAAATACAATCCAGTTTGGTTGCAGTATAAATTCATTTTTACTGATGCAAAACTATGGTAGTGCAAATGATTTGACTGCAAGTTGTGATTTATTTTTGTTTCAAGTTTTACCTAACTTTGTTTGATTGCATTAAAAATGAAGTAAAATAAGACATAAAGCAAAATAAAATAAAACCCAAAATAAAATTAAACCAAAATTTGCATTTTTTTTTTCATTTGCACTCTCATACATTTTTAGCAGAACCAAACACAGCATAGAGATAAAATCTGTTTTTCTTTTTCTTTTTTTTAATTGTGCAGTTGCAAGATTTTGCTGCAATAAAGGAACATCCTTGACAGCTGGCTTCTTTTGTTTGTCTGAAAAAAAAACGTAAGATCTTAAGCTTAGCTTCATTCCATTGATATAACCAACGTACAAGTAATGCAATCACTAAAATTTCGTCCCTAGTCAACTTCATGGTTACGTAAATTTTCTTTTAACCAACAATTTATTTGATCTTATTTTTTTTTGGGTAAATTACAAAGACCCTCTTTTACTATGGGTCAGTGACAAAGTCCCCCTGTACTTTTTTTTTGCGACAAAGACCCCCTGAACTTTAGTCATTAGACAAAGATCCCCTCGGTCATTAAAGCATTAAATTACCAAAATATTCCATTAAACTTTTTCTATTTTCTTTTTCTTACCCTTTTTCTCTTAACACCTACTTAACCTATTGTTTTCCTCCTTTTTGAGTTTCACTTCACATATCATGATTATGGCCTTGATATTTTCCTTTGACTGAAGCTGCCTGGACTCTTTCCCTATTTTTCAATTATTTTTTTCCCTTCAGTGCTCTTCTTGTGAAAAAAAATGGAGGAGAGAAGAATCTAGTTTCAGTCCATAATCATGGCATGTGAAGTGAAACTCAAAAAGTTAATGCTTTCATCATCTGATTTAACAGTCAAGGGGGATCTTTGTCTAACGTCTAAAGTTCAGGGGAGTCTTTATTGCAAAAAAAGTACAGGGGGACTTTGTCACTGACCCCATAGTACAAGGGGGTTTTTATAATTTACTTTTTTTTTTTTAATTTTTTGATTTGATATAAAGTCTGATTAGATAAATATAAATAGATAGAGATGAATGCGGCGAGGAGCAGGGCTATCAACGGACTAGAAAATCAAACACCCATATTCTTTTCCAAATCTAATTATCATGTATTTGGATATTGGAACTTGTACCCAATTAATAATTTTAATGTAGATTTAATGCTATCCCATCTGATTAAAATTCGAGTCTAATAAAAATTATTATTATATATATAGATATTATTTATAATTATATACAATTTATAATTTATAAATTTAATATTTTAAATTTATAGATATTTATTATACATATATTTAAAAAATAATTAATATTTTTAAAACATTTTTTAATATTTTAATCATTTTAAACACAATAAAATGGTTATAAATTAAATCCCAATATTTTAATCTAACATATATATTTTAATTATTCGAATGTTCATATGGATACAGCTGAATCCGATCCGTTTACAATCGTGGTGGGGAGAGAAAAATAAATGAATTAAAATTTTAGCATGGTACGTAGTATGGACGTGAAGCCAAGGCAAGTATTGGCTTTATTTTCCATGGTAGAGATTGTTGTACTGAATCATTATCTCCATCTGCAGTTACAGTTAACTTGTTAGTCTAGGATTGGTAGTTACAGACCAGTAACATTAGGGTTGGAAGCTCTTGCACGTGCTTACCACCTTATTATTGAATTAATGATATTTAAATTTAAAATTTTTAATGTTTTTTTATGTATTAAATCTAAAATTAATTGTAAATATTGAATAAACATCCTAAATAATTAATTTCCTTTATTTTGAGTCACTCTCGTCGCACTCGCCTTGCGCTGGGAGGAGCGATTCGCGATCACGCAAATTTTGTGTTCTTCTCCTTCTCTCTTTCTCTCTCTCCCCTTTTTTAAGCTTTCTCTCCTTCTACGTTCTACCTCTGCTAGATCCGCGATTCGACTCGAAAAGCATCAAAAGGAACAAAATTTTTCTTTTTGTCGGTTCTTTTTCTCGTATTCGGCTTCTGCCAATTAATCGATCTCGATCTCTGGATTTTTTGAGGACCTGATTTGTGATTTTCGAGGCCTCTGTTCGTTGAATACAGATGAATAAAGCATTTTTTCGAGGGTTTCCGACTCGTGATTAGTATGTGAACGAACATGGGGTCCGGGATGCCTGCAACGTCCACTTCAACCTCTCCGGTTCCGTCTGAAGATAGTGCTGATATGTCCGTCTCACGTGAGTCTCTCATTTTATTTTCTTTCTCCTTTTATTTTTGTCTGAACCGTCGATTCGGTTAGTGTTGTTCCGATTATGGTCAAATGGCGATTTTGTTGATACTTGGTTGGATTCAGGATTGTAGCTTTTGGCTTTTTTTTCCTTCGCAAATATACATATTTCCATCCTTTTTGTTGGGGGGCGGGGGGAGAGGGATTTTAGCTGATGAAGTATATATCTTGAACGAGATTTGTGGTGAAATTTTCAATTTTTAAGTGATTCATCCGTTCACCAAAGCCCGTGGGTGAATAAAAGCCTAAGCCAATTATTGCATCGATTAGAAGTCTTTTAATTGGTCGCACTAGGGATGTATTGATAACCATCTTGGGTAAATACTAGCATCAATTGGGGCTTTTGACTTGTGTGATGGAATTCATCTGAAGGTCTATGGCATAGTGCTAGAAGGATCCAAAATGCTTGAGGATCGGTGTACAGCAGCCCTAAATATGTATCTCGGACTGATCTAAAACCATGATCAGGTTCGATTCAGGACTATATATTCTGCCTTTTATATACTAAAATCATATTTATGTGATTTTTTTTTTTTTTTTTTGGGGGGGGGGTGTGTTTCTGAGATTTTTTCTATGAAATAGTTGTAAGGCCAGCTATTGCCTTTATGAAGTGGAGTTTTTGGCAGTCAAGAAACAACATGTCCAAGAAATGAGTTTGTCAGAAATGTATAAGTTGAGATTGGTGAGTGGAAAAGTAGAAAGCATAAGATGAGAAATGAAGTCATTTAAAGCAACCTAGGTATAGCTCCAATAGGTGATAACATGAGAGAAAGTAGACTAAGATGATTTGATCACCTAAATAGAAGGCCATCGACAGCACCTGTTAAGTGATCTTTTGCAAGTTGAAGGGGCTAGAGGGTATAGGGGTAAAACAAAAGGGGCGTGGGTTGTTGTAAGAAATAATTTAAGTGCTCATAACTTAACAATGGATATGGCATTAAACAGAGCTGAATGGAAAAACTGGATCCATTAACCGACCCCATATAGTTGGAACAAGGATTGGGTGATGATGATAATGACTGTGTAGGTAAAGGTTAACTGATGAAATGTAGGGTTTGTTAAACTAAAAAGTTTCAAGCCCACCATAAATGATCCATATACTAGGGCCCATGGATGAACAAAAGGCTTAAGACAATTGTGGTGTTGGAGTGAGTCTAGATGTATCATTGTGGAAAGAATGGTTTCACTTGATTGGATTTATGATATATAGATAATTATCTTGGATGAGTACAGGTGTCATTTGGAGGACCTTTGAAGATATGATTTATTTGAATGTGTATGCTAATGGTGTCAATTGGACCTTGGATGCTCCAAGTAATAGGGTAAAATAGGAGTAACCAATAACCAACTTAATTTTCACTCCTTTCCTCACTTGGTAGATGTCATGGTTGTTTGGAGTTTGGACAGCTTAGTGAATGTGAAGCAGATGTAGAAAAGGAGAGACTGTTGAAAAAGAAATCAACTTTCTATAAATTCATTCACTGACAATTTTGAACTTTAGGTGTTTCTGAATTTGATCATTTTGTGTTGTTTAATAGTTATTTTCTGGTTTGTTGGTCCAATTGGAATAAGATTAATCATCTTAAAGGGTCAAACTGGTAAATGGTTTTTTAATAGAGTTTCCAAAATTTTGAAAAAGTTAAAGTTGGAATTGTATCACTTTACTTTCAACCTTTTTCTTCAAAGTTTAAAACTTGTCTATTTTGAATGAATTTTGTGTCATTAGATAGGTCATTTGGTTATATATCCAACAAGGCCAAGATATTGCAAATCTGACATGATTTGATTTTCTTTATAATTTTTTTTGGGTTGGTTTAGTGTTTCTTTTGGCCTGTTTAGTTCTAACAGGATTGTTAATCAGTATTTCTAGTTGTTTTAAGAGCTGGAGTCCATACTCCATTCTCAAGTGTCTCTATAGGTTAAGTATATGTTTATCTTAGCTTTGAACTTTTGAAGCAGTTAGAAGTTCTTTTTGGTCAGTTTCTTTGATGAGTTGAAGTTTGTAAAGGGAGATTTGAGTCTAAATGTGGAGCCTATAAATTGAATTTCGATAATTGAACTTTTACAAGAGTAATAATAAAATGAAAGTTTTAAGTTTGAGTATTTTCCTTCTCTCTTTTCTTCTATTCTATATTTCAGAAACTCTTCTATTTTCCTTTTCTTTGTACCACATCAGATATGAATTCTTTCTTTCCCACCACTTATACCATAGTATGACTTCTTCCTACCTGTTCTACATCACTTATTTAGCGTGCTTTTAGAGGGGAAATCCTTATTGGAATGGTCTTAGCAGTAAGATATGATACGAAATGGCTGTTCATCCCAATTTCAACTTGCAAAATAGGCATTCCTTAACTGAACTCAATTGAGAAAATCCTTATTTACAACTATTATGACAATGAGCAATGCAAACTTCTTGTTCTCATTGTAAGGGAGCAATGATGTCGAGAATGGAAGAATGTTCAATGTACCAAATGTTGTATCAACTTTCGATCATCACAAAGAGATTCTCTTATTAGTCTCTAATAACATCGACAACAGATTGTATTGTTAGTTCCTGATGCTCCAACAACAGGTAATCAAACTTCTTTCCTTCTATTGTTATTGATTAAAGAATAGATCTCTATCTATCCATCTAGTCAATTGCCAGAGATTAATTTTTTTCTTCTCTCCTATCTATCTGTGTTGCAGTTTAATTTGTCTTTTAATTCTCTCTTCTTGTTGTTTTGGATTGGCAAAATGTATAGTTCCTCATTGTATTGGGGTAGAATCAATATTGGAAATTTGGTTAACTTCTATGCTTTCTGTCGAATACATTTACCCTATTCCCCAAAAATGTGTCTTTTCTGAATTCTTTATTATTACAGTTCCAATATCCTCTGACCACAATAACTGTGATGCATTAATTTTTCTTATTATAACGGAAAAGGAGAAAATAAAAGAGAAGACATTAATATGCTCAGGCATACCTGAAAATTGAAGTATGTTTTTCCCAAAAATTTCATTTTCTGACAGATTTATTCTTTTTTTTTTCAGAACTCCGTGAGAAGCATCAATTGGAACTAGAAAATTTGACTTTCACAACACAACCATTCAAGACATTAAAGCTTTTCACATTGGCTACCACTGATTATGTTAAGAAGTCAATATTATATATTCTGACAAGAGGTGGTTGGCCTCTGCTTTTGTGTACTTTGGTATTGGCTTCCGGAATTCTTCTTGTTACCTTCTTTGATGGTCCTCATGAAAAGGTATCATGTTAAATAAACACTTTTAACTCCTTTCTGTTTTTAAGAATGCTTTATGCTTGTACAGTGCTATTGTATACCATTATCAATATGCTTAAAAAAGGAAAGAAAAAGAAAAAGAAAAAGAAAAAGGGAAAGAAAGAAAATAGAAAGGTTTTCTGTATAGTGTCAGTATTCTGCCTATATAATTTTCTGGGAGGTCTTTTTGTGTCATGTACATCCCCTCGTGTACATTTTCTTGATATTTTGTTTTTTATATTACACAGTTGCTTTTTTTTTTATCAAAAGATTGAAAAAAAGAAAGAAGTAACAACAACTATATAAAGTTTTTTGTGAGGTTTTCTTCTCAGTAATCTGTTTGTACCTTCTCTCTTTTCAATCTTAATACCAACTATTTTCAAAATATAGTAATTTATAGTCATCTGAATAGTTGGTTTTAGTTTAGAACCAACTATGTTTCTTATGTGAAGATGATATGAACCATGCAAATTTTATTTCAGGACTTCATAGGAGTGAATTTCATGTCTTTATCAACTCTTTGATCATGTATACTGTTTATGGTCAAATTTTCCCTCAGGTTGATTTGATTAAAATGACTTTTTCTTTGACATTTTCCCAGCATGTTCAGGAGTTTCTTCAATATTTCCATTTTGGATTGTGGTGGTTGGCCCTTGGCATAGCATCATCAATTGGTTTGGGTAAGTAAAGTTATTCTTTCTAGTTCTATAAAAAACTGCAATGACTAAGTCTTGTTAGAATGAACTTTTTGTTGTTAGGATCTAGCAGCCACAGTAGCTATTCCCATCATAGACATAAAGGGTGTACTTCTAAATCAGCTTCTGTGCATTTGAATTTACCTTCCTTCTTTTCCAAATTCACTTATCTTCTAGAATAGCTTCTTTTACTTGTCTTACTCTTGGAGTTAAAGGTTTATCTTTTTTTTTTGAATAGATACAAGAAAATCCCCTAAGAGGCGCAAGGGGCAGCCTCTCCAAACAGCAAATACACAAACTACAACAGAGAAAACATGAATGTTGAAATTAAAACAATAGTTACAATTGTGCCCAGAACAATGTTTCCCTATTTATCCCTTGTTTTGCCAAGACATCAGCAAAAGCATTAGCT